AATACCCATCCACGACCCATTTTCAGTGTCCTGGCTGAGGGAAGGGGGTTCTCACCCAAGATTTGACGGTACATGGCCCCGTCCATCGTCCCTTCGATGCGGTGAAGTTGTCCTGTCCCCTTAGCAGAAAAAACACCCCCAAAGCATAATGTTTCCACCTCCATGTTTGACGGTGGGGATGGTGTTCTTGGGGTCATAGGCAGCATTCCTCTTCCTCCAAACACGGCGAGTTGAGTTGATGCCAAAGAGCTCCATTTTGGTCTCATCTGACCACACCACTTTCACGCAGTTGTCCTCTGAATCATTCAGATGTTCATTGGCAAACATCAGACGGGCATGTATATGTGCTTTCTTGAGCAGGGGGACCTTGCGGGCGCTGCAGGATTTCAACCGTTTACGGCGTAGTGTGTTACCAATTGTTTTCCTGGTGACTATGGTCTCAGCTGCCTTGAGCTCATTTGCAAGATCCTCCCGTGTAGTTCTGGGCTGATTCCTCACCGCTCTCATGATCATTGCAACTCCACGAGGTGAGATCTTGCATGGAGCCCCAGGCCGAGGGAGATTGACAGTTCTTTTGTGTTTCTTCCATTTGCGAATAATCGCACCAACTGTTGTCACCTTCTCACCAAGCTGCTTGGCAATGGTCTTGTAGCCCATTCCAGCCTTTTGTAGGTCTACAATCTTGTCGCTGTCATCCTTGGAGAGCTCTTTGGTCTTGGCCATGGTGGAGAGTTTGGAGTCTGATTGATTGATTGCTTCTGTGGACAGGTGTCTTATATACAGGTAACAAGCTGAGGTTAGGAGCACTCCCTTTAAGAGTGTGCTCCTAATTCTACATTTAAAGCTTTCGTGACTGCAAGGATCCATACTCTTTGGTTCTATTCGGTAAAGTCATGTAGGTAAAAAATATATAAAACAAAAAATCACGACGCTTCGGCCACATGATGAAGGCCGCTTGTGTTGTGGCCGAAACGTCGTGATTTTTTGTTGTTTTATATATTTTTTACCTACGTGACTTTACCGAATAGAACCAAAGAGCATGTGCTCCTAATCTCAGCTCGTTACCTGTATAAAAGACACCTGGGAGCCAGAAATCTTTCTGATTGAGAGGGGGTCAAATACTTATTTCCCTCATTAAAATGCAAATCAATTTATAACATTTTTGACATGCGTTTTTCTGGATTTTTGTTGTTGTTATTCTGTCTCTCACTGTTCAAATAAACCTACCATTAAAATTATAGACTGATCATTTCTTTGTCAGTGGGCAAACGTACAAAATCAGCAGGAGATCAAATACTTTTTTCCCTCACTGTACATATGTAGTAGCTACATATGCAGTAGCTACATGTGTAGTAGCTACTACACGTGTAGTAGCTACTACACGTTTAGTAGCGACACGTGTAGTACCTACACGTTTAGTAGCTACACGTGTAGTAGCTACACATGCAGTAGCTACACATGTAGTAGTAGCTACATGTGTAGTAGCTACACGTGTAGTAGCTACACGTATAGTAGCTACACGTGTAGTAGCTACTACACATGTAGTAGAAGCTACATGTGTAGTAGCTACACGTGTAGTAGCTACACATGCAGTAGCTACACATGTAGTAGTAGCTACATGTGTAGTAGCTACACGTGTAGTAGCTACACGTATAGTAGCTACACGTGTAGTAGCTACACATGCAGTAGCTACTACACATGTAGTAGAAGCTACATGTGTAGTAGCTACTACACATGTAGTAGCTACTACACATGTAGTAGCTACTACACGTGTAGTAGCTACCGAGCACGCACTCCGTAGATCCACCACGAGCCACGCACGACCCTCGTCTCCCCATCGCCCGGGTCGCCAACATCCCGAGCGCAGCCCCCGACTCCGCCAGGGCTGCACCGCGACGTTTTGGGACCGCGGCCTCCGCATTCTCCGGGGGACCCCAAAGTTTCGCGACGTCGTGTGTCGCGTGGATCAGCAGCAGCAGCAGCAGCAGAATAAGCTAATATTATAAACCAAACTCGTCCGAATCGAATATCTTACAGACGGCAGAATATTGAATTTGACCTTTTTGTAGTTTTTCTTGGTGGTGTCGTTGCGATCAACGTGGAATATCGTTGGCTACGCGGCCATAGCCTTTTCACTCGAATCCCTGGGAAAGTATTTCCTTGGGACGAGTCCCAGGATGACCACCTGCCTGTGTGAAGCGGTGCTCCGAGTGGAAGCGCACCTCTGCCATCAACTCGACTCGCTCACCGCGAACACTCACAAGCCCGACCCGAGCCCACGCATTAAAAAAAAAAATCTCTTCCTGCAAATGGCAACGATATGTTGAGATGTTCTTGTCGACGAAAGGGCGTCAGCAAGGAGAGTGTTCATGTGGTGTCGCTGTTACCCCCTCCTCTGTTGAAGGAACGCAGCCTCCACTGGTTTACAACGTGGCCCGCAGTTTGGATGGCATGGCCACAATCGCACAACTGAGGCTTGTCTTTAATGCATCTCTACGTGTCTCAGTGTATCTCTATGAGCCTCTGTGTATCTTTGTCTCTATGTATCTCTATGAGTATCTGTGTATCTCTGAGTCTATCTCTACAAGTCTCTGTGTCTTTGTATCCCTCTCATTCTCTGTGTATGTCTCTGTGTACCTGTGTATCTCTGTGTACCTCTATGTATCTCTGAGTCTCTGTGTATCTCTCTCTATGTACCTGTGTATCTCTGTCTCTATGTATCTCTATGGGTCTCTGTGTGAGTCTGTGTATCTATGTGTCTCTCTATGAGTCTCTAACGTATCTCTATGGGTCTGTGTCTCTATGTATCTCTATGGGTCTCTGTGTATTTCTATGCGTCCCTGTGTATCTCTATGAGAAGTCTCGATGAGTCTCTACGGGTTTCCTATGTGGGTCCACAGTGTGAGTCGCATAGCCACAGTCGAACTGCTCTGTCTTGTGTCTTTCATTCTCCATTCGTGAAGAAGATGTGTGCGGTTCGGCCCCGCTGTTGATTTTCGGACGCGGTTGAAGGTTTCACCACCACCACCCCGACCACCGGTGCCTTCGAAGAGGATGAATGCCAAAGCCATATCCCTACTTGTTTGGGTAATGCGCGATTCTCACAGTGTCTAAGGCACTCACGTCCAATACATCTAAAAGGCCTCTTGCTAAAAAACAAACAAACACGAAATCCGCGACACATTTGACCACACGCGGGACACATCACTCACTCGGCTAAAATCACGTACAATAGCGCCTGCTAAGCAGCAGTAAGTGTAAACTGTTGTCGCTTTGACGAAGGGAAATTAAAAACGTTCCAGTTCCGAGGCATTCGTGTCCAATGTCTGCGTGGACACTGACCGTCACAGCACGCCGTCTGCTGTCCGACAGACTTCCACTTGCCGATGAAATAAACCCGCAGCGAGCGGTGCGAGCCGTTTCCGGGCACACATCTGCGCGTGCTCCATCCACCAACAAATGCTCAAGTCTGTATCTGTCTGACAATGATGATGACGATGTCAACTTGTAACGTGCCGTGGGAAGGCAGGAGCAGCAGCCACCTGCAATTATCCAAGCTCTGCGGTCCTCTACATACTTGACGGTGCTATGACGTTGCAAGCATTGAAATCCACGCGCGACCGCGCTTCATTTTCTCGGGAAAACTGGCAATGACCGACATCTGAAAAAAAAGTTGCTACGTTTGTACCGCGGTGAGTTCCGTTGCCTCTGCTGCGGTTCAGTTGACGTTTGGACGAAGCTGTTTAACGCAAGTGTCGGGAAAATGTCGTGCCACGGGGCCGGGTGTCCGCGCCACACCCTGTCAGAGGGGCGCTGAGGAAACGTCATTCACGTCGCCAGGTTTACAGAGCGGCTCGGCCCGACCCGTAGCAGTGACCCCTTCTTAGTGGCTGCGTTCAGACCCACAAACCCGACCCCTTCTTAGTGGCTGCGTTCAGACCCCCAAACCCGACCCCTTCTTAGCGGCTGCGTTCAGACCCCCAAACCCGACCCCTTCTTAGTGGCTGCGTTCAGACCCCCAAACCCGACCCCTTCTTAGCCGGAAGACCGCGTGCACGACGACGCCGGAACGCGATGCCGACAGCGCCAATCGCAATAAAAAAAATGATGGGGTGAGCAAAAATAAATAACTTTCAGTTTTATAAGAAAAAATAATGAAGGCCACCATCTCGTCCACCGTGCCAACGTGGAAACGGTGCGATGGGCGCGATGATGGCCCTCCGTGACTCTTGAATGGACAGCGCATCAAACTGAGCGCGGGCATTTGTTTGCGAGGTCGGCGTCGAGTAGCAATCTGCGGGAAAAACTCGGTCTCAAAGCTGCCCACGCTCTCACGTCCCCTAAACAGACAATGGGCACGGTGTTCGCAATTGCACTCCCAGCCGCCACAAACCCCTTGCGCGGCTCACACAGACACGGGTTTATCAACTCGCGCTCGCCATTCCTGCTTCAATTTTCGCTCGACCATTTCGTGCCGTAAATCGGTGAACCGATCTGACCCAGTGGTCGTGATGCCATTTCAGCATCGGTTCCTTTACGTCTCTCCCGTGGAGAACGTGGCAACCCCTACGGGGGATAACGTTGAACCGATGACATACAACTAAGGTGTCGGACTCAAAAGACACGCGCGATTCGATGCTTGCATCGTCAGATGAAGGAGTGACTGCACACCCCCTGCTCATGACACAATACCAGTTAATAACCATTTATTTGGAAAAAAGTACTTGAAATGCAAAAATAAATAAACGATAAAAGTCAAGCATTTTGGCAACACGAAAAACCATTTAAAATAATGTAAACACTTCATCGCAACTTTTGGAGAGGGGTGGTGCAGTGGTTAGCGTTCTGCACTATGAACCCGAATGCCCTTAGTTTGATTTTCTAGTCAAGGAAGGAAGGCCGTCATCGTCGTTGTCATCACGCCGTATCGCCAAGTAAACAACTTCGCCGACAGCGCTGCCACCATCCGAAGCAGGCACCCGAAGATCCTGCGGGCACCGTCAGAGGAGAGAGGGTGGCACGCGGTACAGCGAGGGGTAGGGGATCGACCGGGCGCCCATCGTGCTGCTCTCCGCCCCGTCCGGTCTTGCCAGGGAGCCGCCTTCCGGCATGTACACGTAGTCTTTGGGGAACTCGATGCAGCTTTCGCCGGCGGCCGCGAGAGCGACGGCGGGCAGCGGCGGCTGGCGGGCACCGAGAGGAGCCCGGCCGTCGGCGACGCCGCTTCCCGCCGCTCTGCCCGCGGGATTGTCGCCCCCATCTCCGAAGGCTGAGCGATCGGCGCTCGCCAACGGCCGACGGCCGCCGGCGCCCGCGAGCTCGTTCCATTCCGGGCCGTCGAGAGTTGGCACCTCACCGTCCGCGAGCGCCTCGGAGGGGAAAGCCGAATCCCCGCTGGCGTCCAAGCGGCCGCCGCGTGCCGTCGGCATCAGCGGACCGCTGATGAAATCAACGGCGTTCCAGAAGAGCGGACTTCCGATGTCGGCGCACGGGCCGGCGGTTCCCATCGCGCCGGAGATCCGGGCGGAAACGTCGAGGCGCGGAAGGAGAGTGCCGACGTCCGCGCCGGCGTTTGCGGCCCCACCGGCGCCGTTGCCGACCCACGTGATTTCCACCGCCGGATGGAACGGCGGCTTGGAGTCGGCGACGTCGGCGTGGCGTCGCGTCTCCGCCGTAGCCGCCTCTGAACCCGCACCCACGCGGGCGCCGCCGAGCCCGGTGGTGACGTCACAGACGGGAGGCCCCGAGGGGCACCGCTCAGCTACCGTGCAACAGAACGCCGGCGCCCCCGGTGGGATCGCCTCATCCGCCTCCCGGCCGAGACCCACGCCTGGCGAGATGTCTCCCTCCAAGACGAAACCGTTCTCGCCGTCGCCCGGCGCTCGCGCGTCGTCCGTGACGGGCGGGCGTGGTGCGGCGACGTCTGGCACGCCGCAGACGCCGCTCGGGAAGGTGGCCGAGTCGCCCGAGTCGGAGCCGCGGTCGCGATCTGGAACCGCGTCGACGGTGTCGCGCGGCGGTTCGACGCCGCCGTCTTGCGGCGTCGAATCTCCGTGGCAGGGACCGGCCGAAGGACTCGCCGCAGGTTCCTGCGAGGGAGGTGCTCCGTTTCCTACGACCGCGCCGTCGGCTGCGCTCGCTTCTGACGTGTCCGCTTCACCGTCGTAAGCGAAATCCGGCATTTCGACCGGATATCCGTCTACCTCGTCGATTCCGTAAGAGTTTTCTATGACGTAGATGGGCGAGGAGTTGGTGCGCTCATCGGGTGAGTCCACGCACAGAGCCTCCACTCGGCCTTCCAGCGTACTCCGTGACGCGTCCCAGCGTGGCGGATTTCTCGCACGATCGGTTTTCAACGCGGGCTTTGCGGGGCGAGCGACGGCCCTCCTCCTCTTCCTGTGACGAGCTCCCCTCTCTACGCCCTTCTTCTTCTTCTTCTTTGGTTTACCACGCGACCGTATCCCCACCCTGCAGATCACGCGCACGCTGGCGCTTCCCGAGAAACCCTCTCCGCCCGCTGGGCCGCCCTGCCGCTCGTCGCCCGTCGGGACTTCGGCGACGACGCCACCGTAGGTCGCGATGGCGGTTTCGGCAGACTCCTCCACGAAGAGGCGCCTCACCTCCTCGGGACGCACGCTCCTGCCGAACAGCTCCCTCACCAGCGAGGTGTCGCGGGCCTCCGGCTCGTCCCTCCTCGCCACTTGCATGGCCACCCTCGGGCAGTCGGTGCGGGGAATCGCGGCGAAACCCGGCGCCGGAGCGACCCAGCCCACGTTGAGGCGCGCGTACTGCTGCTCGACCCACTCCAGTTGGCACGGCCGCAGGCCGCGCAGCTGCCCGCAGCGGAGGAGGCCGGCGTCCCGCTGGCCCCACGCGGGGCCTCCCGCGGGCGAGCTCCGCCCTCCGCCTGGCCCGGCGTCCAAGCCGAACGCCGAAGCGGCGAACGGGCGCTCCACGACGAGGCGGGAAGCGGGCGCCGCGGCGGCGGTTTCGCCGCCGGCCGCCCGCGTCCCATCCGGCCCCACAGAGCGGTCGCTGGCATCCGCCCGGCACGCCGTACGCCGGTGGCCGCGAGAGCGGTCGGCGCGCTCCTTTTGAACGCGCCGTCGAACTTCGGCCCTCTTCGACGCGGGTGCGCCAACGGTGCCCGACGCCGCCCTCCGCCCGGCGATCGCCGCCGCCCTCCGGTTGCCGCGCTCCTCCCCGGTCGATGCGGCGGACGAGTCGCGGGCAGCGGGTGCAGACGCCCGCCCGGCGTCGGGACCGGCGCGGGAGTGTTCGAGGAGCCGAAGGGAGGGTGCGGCGGTGCCGGAATTTCGGTGCTGCGGGGCGGGGGCCTCCGCCAACACCGACGGTTCGAGCGGCCCCGTGCCCCGCCGACACCCGTCGGCCTGGTCGTCATCCCGATCCCTCGACGGGCTGCCTCCGCCGCTGTTCTCCCCGCGGGCGGCGCCATCGCGAGGGCCGGAGCGCGGAGCGTCGCGCTTCCTGCGAGACCGCACACCGACGCCGGTGGCGGCGAGCTCCGAGTCGCGGCTGCCGGCAGGCGGTGCCCGACGTCGCGCCGTTCCGGAGGTTTTACTCTCGCGGGCGCCAGGCACCGACCCCGCGGAGGACGCGTGCTGGAGGACGCGTGCCGGAACTGTGGGCGTCTTCTCGCGGTCGTCAGGCTCCTGCTTTATTCTCTGTTTGAGTGGCGGCTCGTCGGAATAAACGATGTTGTCGTCTTCGTCGAATTCCAGCTCGTTGAGGCAGTCCGCAACGCAGATCTCGCTCTTCATCACGGCGTGTCCCCCCATGTTTGGGTCACAATTTGCGTGCTTTTCATCGACGTTTCCTACCAGCCCGTGACTCGCACCTTTCATCGCATTCATTTCCTCTTGCTCAATCAAGAGTAATGGAGGCTTCACATCACCACAACCGTCATCATCGTCAGCAGGCTGAACGGCGTGCGGTTTGCGCGTCGCCTCCGCAGATCCAGAGCTCCACCCATCGTCATGTTCGCTCTTCACTCTGGTGAACTGCAATCCCATCCACTCCTTCAATGACGCGTTCCGCGGTGCCATGCTCTCGACGTCCGGGCCCTTGGTTGGGTCCCACAGCGCCACCACCAGCCTGTGCCGGCTCGGCAGCCGAGACGGAGACCCCCGCCTCTTGAGCTTTTCGACCACGGAAGGAATCTTCCCGGGGCCTCCTTTGGATCTCAGCTTCCACGCAGATTTGGTCGTTGTGCAGCCCTCGACGACAGTGGAGCTGCGCCCGCGCGAAACCAACGAGTCGATGTTTCTCGTCAGCGTCACGAGGCATTTCTTGGAGAAGTGGGGGGCTGTCATCTTTGTGTGCATGTGGCCAAATTTGGCGACCACGTCCCCCTGAATTCGAAGCTGCTCGCTGACCGCGGCATCGGCCGCCGTGGCCACGGAACCGTGCGGGCGCGTCTGCCTCGCCGCCGGCTTCCAATCGGTCGCCGTCAGCCTCCTGGTCTGCAGCTCCCAGAATTCCTCATTGCTCACGTGACCCCTGGTGCTCTTCCTGGCCGTGCGGCGCGCGGCCGGCCCCTGCGTCGCCCCGGACCACCGTGCCTCCTCCTCCGCGAGCATCTCACTCACGAAGACTATGTCGCATTCCGTCTGGACGTCGCGCTCGGTGACGGGATACGAGAACGAGCGCTTGACGGTCGCGTGCGCACCGGGCCGGTCTATGGCCGGCCCGGATGGCTGCGGCCGCCCGTTGTCGTCGTCGTCGTCGCCGTCGTCGCCGATTCGCCGTCGATGCTCGCGACCGCCTGCGGGTGAATTCTCGGCGCCGCTCCGCTGCGCCTCCGTCGTTTGGTCGGCATCTGCGGCTCCCTCCGAAGTGGCGACCGTCGTGACGTTGACCGGCCGCGACACGCAGCTCTCTGCCGTGACGTTCTCTTCCGCGGTTGGCTCCACAAACGGGCCAGCGGCGTGGAAATTCCCGGCGTGCTGGTCGTTGGAAAGTTCGGACGCTTGGCTCCCACCGAGCATGCCGTCTGAATCTGGATCGATTCTCTTTGAGATGGCCGCTCCGCTCACCGTAACTTCCCTGCACACTGCCCCACCATCAGTTCTCGCCTGCTGAAATGCATTCTCATCCGTGGGATGGCACCGATCTTGCCGACCGTCCTGATAAGCATCCCACGTGATAACCTGCTGGCGATCCAAACACGCTTGAAACTCATCCTGATGGAAATCCAAATCCTGATGGTGATCCTGAACGCAATCGTGACGCGGTTGACTCTCGTCCTGGCCGTCCAGCCGCCGCTCCCGCCGACGGCATTTTGCAAAGTGTTCCGGATCGTCGCGTAGCGTCTCGCGTGCCCGTTCCGGACTCCGGCTCCGGCTCCGATCGTCGGCGCCCCGGAGCGCGTCCTGCCGCCGGGCCGCTGCTGCCTGTGGCCGCGTCTCTCCGCCGCGGCGATCCGGCGGGCTTCCTCCCCGACGACCGTGCCGGAGCCGCTCCTGCTGCCCCCCCCCCTGCGGCAACGGCGTCGATGGCGGCGAGCGATCGGCGCGGCCATCCCGCGTCGCACGCAGCACCTCCCGCTCGTAGCGCCGGAGACGCAGCGCGGAGCTCTCGTCCCCCTGAGCTGCGGCCGCCCGCACGAACCCCCGCACCTCGTCCAGAAGCCGGTCGTGTTTTGTCGGCGACTCTAGCAGGCCGCCCTCCTTGGGGCTCGCCGGGTCGGGCACGCTTGGCGGCAGGCGAGGAGTCAGCAGCGGCGGCAGTTGCAGGCCCTGCCGGCATGGCGTCGGCGTGGCAGCCGTGGAGGAGGAGGATGAGGACAAGGAGGAGGTGTTTGGGAAGGTTGCCAGCTGGTCGTGGTATGAGCTGCCATTTTCCTTGGTCAGGTCGACAATGCTGATTGGCTGGTATCCAACCTACGTGGGGAATCATTTCGAAGAGAAGGGAATCAAAGGTGGCATAAAAATGTATGGTGGCATAGCTGCGAATGATGCCCAGCATGAACAAGTTGTCAGCAAAGATGAGCGTTGTGAATTATATAAATTAAAAAAGAGGGATGACATTGTCATCCTCTCAGCCGACAAGGGCAATGCCACTGTCATCATGGATAAAATAGAAAATAACATCAAAATTGAAGAATTACTTAACGATGGCAGCTATACAAAAATAAAAAGAGATCCCACCAACAGCCTCGTCATACAAATCAACAAAATCACTTCTGATTCAACCGCATTAATTGATCAAACCAAACAGTTCTCGTTGAAACCTTCTGCTGCCAGGCCACCAAGATTATACGGCTTACCAAAAATACATAAAGTAGATACATCCCTTCGTCCCATCGTCTCTACTATCAACTCCCCCACCTACAAACTGGCTCGTTTTGTTTGAAATCCTGCGGCCTTACCAAAAATACATAAAGTAGATACATCCCTTCGTCCCATCGTCTCTACTATCAACTCCCCCACCTACAAACTGGCTCGTTTTGTTTGAAATCCTGCGGCCTTTCACTGGAAAAACCACCTCTGTGGTACAAAATTCTGTTCACCTGGTATCGACAATCACGGGTATTTCCCTGTCCCCAGACGACCTGCTTGTCAGTTTTGATGTAGTTTCCTTATTCACAAAAGTTCCTGTACCTGATACCATCGCAATCATTGAAGACTTGGTTCATCAAGGACTAAATACTGAGGTACCCCCCCTGGTGAGACACTGCTTAACCAATACATACTTCACTTGGAATGGAACTTACTACAAACAAACTGAGGGCACCCCAATGGGCTCCCCCCTATCTCCGGTTGAAGCCAACATTTTGATGGAGAAATTTGAGATTGACGCCATCCATACTGCCACTCTGCACCCAACCTTATGGAAGAGGTACATGGATGACACATTTGTCATCTGGCCACATGGCCGGCCTGCTCTAGACCAATTCCTCGACCACATAAATTCCATACACCCAGCCATCAGATTTACCATGGAAGTCGAAAAAGATGGCAAGCTACCTTTTTTGGATCTCCTAATAAAAAAGAGACCGGATGGTTCAATGAGCCACTCTGTCTACAGGAAAGCTACCCATACGGATGCTTACCTGAAACCGGATTCCCACCACCATCCATCCCAGAAGAATTCCCTCATCAAGACTCTGCACCATAGAACCCAATGCATACCCGACCAGGAACACATAGCCAGTGAACTCAAGCACGTACACCAAGCTCTTAAGGCTAATGGTTACTCCGACTACACAATCCGCAAAGCTATCACTCCAACCATGAAGAAGGACCCTCTTGAGGAGCCTTTCAAAACCATCACTTTACCCTACATTGCGGGGATCACAAAAAAGATCTCCAAAATATTCAATAAACACAAGATCCAGGTCCGATTCAGCACATTACATAAAATCCGTGATCTGGTTCCATCTGTAAAAGATGTGATACCGGACATACAGTACCCTGGCATCTACAAACTAAGTTGCCTCTGTGGTAGTAGTTACATTGGAGAAACCAAACGACATGTCTCGGACCGCATTCGTGAACACAAAGCAGACCTTAAACACGGTAGGACCAACACCTCGGCCGTGGCAGATCACTGTTATATTTCAGTAGGCTCACATGACATTGACTTCTCCAATACAGAGGTTCTTTGTAAGCCATCTGGCTACCATGAGAGAGATTCGTTCATGAGGCTATCCTCATATACAAACACAGAGACACTTTCAACTGAGAAGATGGATTCTGGCTTAGCAATCATTGGAAGGATTTGATAAACCATTTCGGGTCTTAATTGATTGTTCACGCTTATGGTGGCTTTCAGACCGCATCCATTATTTTCGTCTCCCCCCTCCTCTTTTCCGAACATAGATGGACTCGTCCATCTGAATAACTGCCAAATCTCTCTCCGTGGTGCTAACGTTGAAAAAATACCACCACTTTTTTCAAATTTCCTTGCTGTGGTTTTCACACCTGATCATTTTATTGTTTTATATTTTTATTATTTTATTGTTTCCCTTCTACGTGACTTTACCGAAAGAACCAAGAATAAGTTGTCTAACAGTTGATCGATTCTAGGATTAATGTTGATTCTTACATTTTCAACATTTGTATTCATCACATTGAATTATTGGGATAGAATTGTGAAGCTAAATTGCGATAGTTTATTCAATGGCAACGCAATGAATCATTACACAACCCAGTGATGCCACTACTGCCTCTACTCATGGTGGTCCATGACGGTGGTGTCAACGGTGACGTCGATGACGACAATCCTGGCAATCGTCACGACGACGACAGAGGATGCATTCAACGGACCCTTCCACAAGACGTCAACTCAGACGCGCGTCGTTTACCTGTGAGCAGCGGTGAGGCGCGGGGAGCGAGGGCCCCACGGGAGGGCGTCCCTCGGGCCGCACGGCCCCCCGAGAGCCCCACGGGGGACCTTCGCACGGCGTCTGCACGACCGCCGTAGCAGCCGCAGAAGTCCGTGGCACCACCGCCCACGGCGCTCGCGTGGCCGGATCGACACCCGCGCCGTCAGCCAGGTTGAGGGTGATAGCGGCCGCCGGAGGAACGGCCGCAGGAGGGACGGCCGACGGCTCCCTCCCTGCGCACCCAGCCCACTCCGCCTCCGCCTGACGCCGCATCTCGCAGGCGGCATTGGACGAGACGCGCGTCCTGGCGATCGCGTCCGGCCGTCCTCGCTGCCCGTCGACGCTCGTGCCTGCCGCCCGGCGCCAGCAGGACGGGGCCCCGTACGACGGCTCGGACGCCCCTCCGTGGCTGCTGACGGAGGCGGCGGCGGCGGCGTCCGGGCTGTGAGTGAGGAACGGCCACCGTGCGCCGGAGGAAATCGCCGGGGCGGTGGCGGGGAGTTGAGGACGAGGTAGCAGCCGGGCGTGCGGATGGTGCGGCTGCTGCAGTTGCTGCTGCTGTTGCTGCTGTTGCTGTTGCGTGTGGAAGTGCAGCTGGGGCGACGGTTGCATCGGGGAAGGCCCCACATGCTGGCACTGCACCTGAGCGTGCGCGTGCAGCGGCAGTTGTGGCTGCGAGTCTAACTGCGGGTATGGCTGTAGCTGCGATTGACTGTGGGGCTGCGATTGAAAGTCCGCGTTCATCGGCGACTGCGGATGCAACTGTCGCGAGTGCGGCTGATGTTGGGATTGTGGCTGCGTTTGTAAATCCGGCCGTCGTGAGCGCGGCTGGGAATGCGGTTGCAGGTGTTGCTGTGAATTTAAGTGCGACTGTGAATTCAAGTGTGCTTGTAAATTCGACTGTGACTGCAAATTTGAGTATGTGTGCGAATGTGTGTATGGCAGTGAATTCGAGTGTGCCTGTGAATTGAAGTGCAGTTGGAAATTCAAGTGTGACTCTGAATTTGTGTGTAGCTGCAAATTTGCGTGCAGTTGTGAATTTGAGTGCAGCTGTGAATTTGAGTGCGGTTGTGAATTTGAGTGTGGCTGCGAATTTGAGTGTGGCTGCGAATTTGATTGCGGCTGTGAATTTGTGTGAACTTGAGAATTTGAGTGCGGTAGTGAATTTGAGTGCAGTTGTGAAATTGAGTGTGGCTGCGAATTTGAGTGCGGCTGTGAATTTGAGTGCAGCTGTGAATTTGTGTGAAGTTGAGAATATGAGTGCGGTTGCGAATTTGAGTGCAGTTGTGAATTTGAGTGCAGCTGCGAATTTGAGTGCAGTGGTGAATTTGAGTGCAGCTGTGGATTTGTGTGCAGCTGTGAATTTGAGTGCGATTGTGAAATTGAGTGCGGTTGGGAATTTGAGTGCGGTTGTGAAATTGAGTGAGGCTGTGAATTTGAGTGTGGCTGTGAATTTGAGTGCGGTTGTGAATTTGTGTGCAGATGTGAATTTGAGTGCAGTTGTGAATTTGTGTGTAGATGTGAATTTGAGTGCAGTTGTGAATTTGTGTGTAGATGTGAATTTGAGTGCAGTTGAGAATTTGTGTGCAGATGTGAATTTGAGTGCAGTTGTGAATTTGAGTGCGATTGTGAAATTGAGTGCGGTTGGGAATTTGAGTGCGGTTGTGAAATTGAGTGCGGTTGTGAATTTGTGTGCAGATGTGAATTTGAGTGCAGTTGTGAATTTGAGTGCAATTGTGAAATTGAGTGCGGCTGTGAATTTGAGTGCAGATGTGAATTTGAGTGCAGTTGTGAATTTGAGTGCAGTTGTGAATTTGTGTGCAGATGTGAATTTGAGTGCGATTGTGAAATTGAGTGCGGCTGTGAATTTGAGTGCAGTTGTGAATTTGTGTGCAGATGTGAATTTGAGTGCAGTTGTGAATTTGTGTGCAACTGTGAATTTGAGTGCAGCTGGGAATTCGAGTGCAGTTGTGAATTTGTGTGCAACTGTGAATTTGAGTGCAGCTGGAAATTTGAGTGCAGTTGTGAATTTGAGTGCAGTTGTGAATTTGAGTGCAGTTGCGAATTTGCGTGCAACTGTGAATTTGCGTGCAACTGCGAATTTGCGTGCAACTGCGAATTCGTGTGCAGCTGCGAGTTTGTGTGCAGCTGCGAATTCGTGTGCAGCTGCGAATTTGCGTGCAGCTGCGAATTTGCGTACAGCTGCGACTGTCTTTGCACCTGTGGAGCTGCCGTCTGCCGAGACGCCAGCACCGGCAGCGCAAGGGGCAGGGTGGGCGAGCGGTGACGCAGCAGGAGCTGCTGCAGCTGCTGCTGCTGCTGCCGCACAGGGGCCAGCGCCGCTCGCTGGCCCCGGCAGCAGCTGCCACCGCCGATGCCGCCGTTGCCGCCGTTCGCGTTTGGGTCGCGCGCCGGCCCTTCGGGGCCGCGGACTTTGAGGCCGTGGTGGCGCGCGGTGCGCAGCCGCGAGAGCACCGCGTGCAGCCGGCCAGGGTGCTGCCCGCCATCGGGCCGTTCCGTCGCGCCGTCAGGGTCCCTGCGGGAAGAGGGAGACGGGCGAGCGGCGGGGAGGCGAGACGCCGTCACGCGAGCCGGCGCTTTGGTCGACGTCGGTGGGTTTTGCGGAGATTCGTGACACGACCGAACCGAGCCGGGGAAGGTTCATCGGCTGTGTCAATTCCTCACCGGCATTGTCGACTTGCTGCATCCGTCCTGTCGGTGAGTTGAACCGCCTGGTTTTCGGGTGCGCCGAAAAAATGTTTTTGAAAGGTTTGGTTCTGGCTAACTGCACCATATGTGCGGGGGTCTACGGGTTGGGCACATCTTAGAGGGCCTTACCTTTTATTTTCCTTGAAAAATAATGTCAATTGAACGACAATAACGCTGAAACGAGCAAGCTGTAAGTGATTCAAAGCACCTGACATTCTGGCCTCATCACAGGGTTTGAGCCCAGAGTAACAGCGGTGTAAACGCAGTTCCTCTGACATTATGAGTAGGGTAGTTGGCCTGTGATCCAGCGCTGTGGAGGCGAGCGTTGGTAGATCACTGCACGGATGTCGTAAAACTCCCTTCCCGTGCGCGTCGAGGATGCGCCATACTCTGGCCCGCCAGGAGAAGGCAGCACAGCGTGTGGACTAATCGCCAGTGGGATAGAGCGTTGCCCCCTAGCTCGCACGTGCATGCGTGCGTGCGTGCGTGTGTGTGCGTGTGTGCGCGTGTGTGTGCGTGTGTGCGCGTGTGTGTGCGTGTGTGCGTGCGCGTGTGTGCGCGTGTGTGTGCGTGTGTGCGTGTGTGTGCGTGTGTGCGTGTGTGTGCGTGTGTGCGTGTGTGTGCGCGTGCGTGTGTGTGCGTGCGTGTGTGTGTGCGTGCGTGTGTGTGCGTGTGTGTGTGCATGCGTGTGTGTGCGTGTGTGTGCGTGTGTGTGTGCGTGTGTGCGCGTGTGTGTGGGTTCTCTCCGGGCGCTCCGGTTTCCTCCCACGTGTATATACAGCAACTCACTCATCGGTTGAAAAACATGTTATAATAAAAACTTCTTAGAATAAAAACGCCTTCTAATAAAAAGCCAACGTAGCGGCGCGGGCAGGACCCTCCGGCAAGAAGAGTCCCACGACTCGGTTTGGGCTCCCGTGGATGGACGGAGCAAGACTGATCTCATCCCGAACATTTGTTATCGCCGCACTCGTGTAGGTCCTGTGCATCACGAATGCGCGCCGCTTGCACGTCGTAAGCTCGCTGTAATAACATTGTTATGAGACACCCCCCCCCAATCCCCCGTGGCTACTCATCCACCGCTTTCCTTGAGGCACTTAACCACAGTCAGACACGTGGCTGAGAGGAAATGACAGGCGCCCCACATTGTATCCCACCACAGGAGATCCAAAAAGAATTACATCCATCACCAATTTAGCTACCGGGCACGTGATTTTTGTTAAATTGTTCATCGGAGCTGTGTAATATTGGTTGCTGCCATGGTTACGAGCGGTGAATTCCTAAAAACCAGCCACGCTGAAAGATTCTGGGGCTGCGGGTGGTGGACTGAAGAGTCGCGCTGCGTTTGTGGCAGTGGGTTCATTAATGTGACAGCAGTGCTTTAGTGCCACGGGTGACCTGGTGGTGTGCACTTGTGTGTGGTGGAGATGGGTGGTGTGGTGGTGACAGGTGGTGTGGTGGGGATGGGTGGTGTGGTGGTGGTGTGGTGTGGTGGTATGGTGGTGTGGTAGGGATGGGTGGTGTGGTAGGGATGGGTGGTGTGGTAGGGATGGGTGGTGTGGTAGGGATGGGTGGTGTGGTTGGGATGGGTGGTGTGGTGGTGATGGGTGGTGTGGTAGGGATGGGTGGTGTGGTGGTGATGGGTGTTGTGGTTGGGGATGGGTGGTGTGGTAGGGATGGGTGGTGTGGTAGGGATGGGTGGTGTGGTAGAGATGGGTGGTGTGGTTGGGATGGGTGGTGTGGTGGTGATGGGTGTTGTGGTTGGGATGGGTGGTGTGGTAGGGATGGGTGGTGTAGTTGGGGATGGGTGTTGTGGTTGGGATGGGTGGTGTGGTAGGGATGGGTGGTTTGGTAGAGATGGGTGGTGTGGTTGAGGATGGGTGGTGTGGTGGTGATGGGTGTTGTGGTTGGGGATGGGTGTTGTGGTTGGGGATGGGTGGTGTGGTAGGGATGGGTGGTGTGGTTGGGGATGGGTGGTGTGGTGGTGATGGGTGGTGTGGTTGGGGATGGGTGTTGTGGTTGGGGATGGGTGGTGTGGTAGGGATGGGTGGTGTGGTTGGGGATGGGTGGTGTGGTAGGGATGGGTGGTGTGGTGGTGATGGGTGTTGTGGTTGGGGATGGGTGGTGTGGTAGGGATGGGTGGTGTGGTAGGGATGGGTGGTGTGGTAGAGATGGGTGGTGTGGTTGGGATGGGTGGTGTGGTGGTGATGGGTGTTGTGGTTGGGATGGGTGGTGTGGTAGGGATGGGTGGTGTAGTTGGGGATGGGTGTTGTGGTTGGGATGGGTGGTGTGGTAGGGATGGGTGGTGTGGTAGGGATGGGTGGTGTGGTTGGGGATGGGTGGTGTGGTGGTGATGGGTGTTGTGGTTGGGGATGGGTGTTGTGGTTGGGGATGGGTGGTGTGGTAGGGATGGGTGGTGTGGTTGGGGATGGGTGGTGTGGTGGTGATGGGTGGTGTGGTAGGGATGGGTGGTGTGGTAGGGATGGGTGTTGTGGTGGTGATGGGTGTTGTGGTGGTGCTCGGTGTGGAGACTTTTTACGTTAGGGCACTGTTGATGTAGTTAGTAGCGGTGTATTGGGGCAGTGTGGCACTGTAGTGTATGTGTGTTAGCACTGTAGTGTATGTGTGTTAGCACGCTGTATGTGTGTTAGCACGCTGTATGTGTGTTAGCACGCTGTATGTGTGTTAGCACGCTTGTATGTGTGTTAGCACGCTGTATGTGTGTTAGCACGCTGTATGTGTGTTAGCACGCTGTATGTGTGTTAGCATGCTGTATGTGTGTTAGCACGCTGGTATGTGTGTTAGCACGCTGTATGTGTGTTAGCACGCTGTATGTGTGTTAGCACGCTGGTATGTGTGTTAGCACGCTGGTATGTGTTAGCACGCTTGTATGTGTGTTAGCACGCTGGTATGTGTGTTAGCACGCTGGTATGTGTGTTAGCACGCTTGTATGTGTGTTAGCACGCTGGTATGTGTGTTAGCACGCTGTATGTGTGTTAGCACGCTTGTATGTGTGTTAGCACGCTGGTATGTGTGTTAGCACGCTGGTATGTGTGTTAGCACGCTGTATGTGTGTTAGCACGCTGTATGTGTGTTAGCACACTGGTATGTGTGTTAGCACGCTGGTATGTGTGTTAGCACGCTGGTATGTGTGTTAGGACGCTGTATGTGTGTTAGCACGCTTGTATGTGTGTTAGCACGCTGTATGTGTGTTAGCACGCTTGTGTGTGTGTTAGCACGCTGTATGTGTGTTAGCACGCTGTATGTGTGTTAGCACTGTAGTGTATGTGTGTTAGCACGCTGGTATGTGTGTTAGCATGCTGTATGCGTGTTAGCACGCTTGTATGTGTGTTAGCACGCTGGTATGTGTGTTAGCACGCTGGTATGTGTGTTAGCACGCTGTATGTGTGTTAGCACGCTGGTATGTGTGTTAGCACGCTGGTATGTGTGTTAGCACGCTGTATGTGTGTTAGCACGCTGGTATGTGTGTTAGCACGCTGTATGTGTGTTAGCACGCTGTATGTGTGTTAGCACGCTGGTATGTGTGTTAGCACGCTGGTATGTGTGTTAGCACGCTGTATGTGTGTTAGCACGCTGGTATGTGTGTTAGCACGCTGTATGTGTGTTAGCACGCTGGTATGTGTGTTAGCACGCTGGTATGTGTGTTAGCACGCTGTATGTGTGTTAGCACGCTGTATGTGTGTTAGCACGCTGGTATGTGTGTTAGCACGCTGGTATGTGTGTTAGCACGCTTGTATGTGTGTTAGCACGCTGTATGTGTGTTAGCACGCTGTATGTGTGTTAGCCAACCATGCTAATCGGAGGTGGCAGGTCTGTTCGATGTTGGTATTGGTCCAGCAGCAGTGGGGTAGCGCATTTGTATGTATGTGAATGTATGTGTATGTATGTGTATGTATGTGTATGTATGTGGGGAGCGATGGTGTAGCGGTTAGCGCGCTGCGCTATGAACCTGGCGACCTGCTCACGGCCAAAACCAGTGACGATTATCTGAACCGGTACTGGGCCTCCCCGAGGTCGACTCAGCCTTAAATGAGTACCTGGTGCGGTGTAAACATCACCACTGGGGAAACAAAGGCGGTCGGGCGTGGTGCTGGCCACCCACCCCCTCGTGTACTGTTCCGGCCTTCATAGGTGCTCGCTAACAGCACTTGCTCCTACAGTCTGTTAAGGCTATACGGGGGATCTTTGTCTTTATGTATGTATATGTATGTACATGCATGCACGTTGAACTTCTTTAGCACCGTACGTAGCCAAGTGTGCAAATCAGAGGGATGCTGGGGAAGGACAACAAATCAGAGGTGCGGGGGAACAAGAATACAACAACAAAGATCGCCCGTATAGCCTTAACAGACTGTTGGGGCAAGTGCTGTTAGCGGCTCGGCACGCGAGGGGGTGGGTGGCCAGCACCACGCCCGACCGCCTTCGTCTCCCCAGTGGCGATGTTTACTGCACACCGCACCGGGTACTCATTTGAGGCCGAGTCGACCTAGGGGAGGCCTAGAAGGACAACACAAATTCGAGCGACTGGTGGTTCATTGGCATGGTGGCGGTCGTTCACCAGCGCAGCGGGTGACGATGCGCTGATGTGGTAGTCGGTGCGGCTTGGCGTGCGATGCAGCAGCGGCGGCGGCACGCGGGGACCTACTGGGCGGAAGAGGCCGCCGGGTATCCCCGAGCGCGTGTGGTGGCGGCGACGAGAGAGGGCACGGTGAGGCCGCCCTCGGCGGTGGCGCGCCCCCACGGGGTCGTCTTCAGGGACAGGTCGAGGGCTCCATCTGGTCGCGACGGGCACGGCGGAAAACGTTCCGGCTCAGGAGCGACATGAGTGCAAAATATTACGGACAATGAAATGTAAACAAACGCTTCAGATAAGAATGGTGCCACTACCAAACTCTATACTGTTATTATTTGTATTATTTGAATTGCTAGAAAAAAATAAACAAGGCCTGAGGCCTAGTTGTATAATTTTGCCTTAATTATAGCACCTATTCCATATTTTACTGCTTCATTGAGTTTTCCTTCTTTTTATGTATTTATCATATTATGTGTACATTCGCCGTTGAAAATGATTTGTCTCTTTATCTGAACGAATAATAACGCGTTGTGTGACGTAACCTTGAATCTCGTGGTATGAAAGGCGCTCTACATTCTACAGAAGTAAACAACATACATATGGCCAAATTTACGCACGACTTGCATTTCCCCGCTCCCACATTCCCTCGCCCCCACATTACCCCATTGAAATTCGAGAGTTCGTCATTTTAGGCCGGCTACACCAACGTCGTTGGATCAAGCGACGACCATTTTTGGACACAGTCCCTCCCACGGGGTCAGCAACGGTGCTCAGATTGTCGGCCGCGTGGCTCCTCCTCCTTCGACAAACAGCAGCAGCACGCCGTGTCGGCCGCACCGTCATGGAACCGTAAAAGCGGCACTTCTCGCGAGACGCTCCCGGGAACACTTACGCCGGTCGTAGGTCTTGGGCACCCCCCTTTCGCGGGTGAGGTCCAGAGGGGAGTCCTGCGACCTGGGCGACACCTCGGGGTCAAAGGTCTCCTCCCAGGGAGGGTCGTGGGTCAGCTTCGGAGGCTCGCGCGCGGGGTCCCGGTTGGACGCCCGTCCCGACAACGCCATGGCCCCGAACCACGAGCCGCTTGCGGTGCCAACGCCGGCGCCTTCTCTCCGACAGAGGCCGTCCATTCCGTCCGCCCGTCCGTCTCAATGCATCGCCGACTCCTGGCAAGCGCGGCGATCTGGGCGTAGAAACAGCAGAGTCGTTTATCTTCCGAGGTCACACGATATCAGGTGCATTCCGGGCGGTTTGGGGAATGCAATAACAAAATATTTGCAAAGTTCTGTTGTTTTAACTCGTGTAAATATTGCACGCTTGGCGGGTTTTCTCAGGTGCCTCATCGCCTTGCCACGTGAAAAGCACTGCTTTAAAAGCGACTGGACCAACGTACCAATGTGGTAGGACCCTCCTTAAAAGGGGGTCTTTAGACTCGGTAAGGCTT